TGCTCATTTCTAAGTTTATCACGCAGAGAAACTCCGAGCCCTCTCTATAGCTCGCTGAGCGACCTTGAGCTTCCTCATCCGGCCAGCAGTAAAAGCCCACGTCACAGTACCATAGGTCATCACTGGCAACACGCACTGGTTGTACATCAGTCTCGTTTTCAAGTTTTGAGGTATACCTGACGAGAAGATGTGCCGTAATTTCCCGAATGCTGCCCAGCCGAGTTGAATCCGTCGATTGACCTCTCAGTCGAAGTAAGACTTACCTAGTCGGACTATTTGTCCCAGGTAAACATACTCGTCAACAACTTCGAGCTTAGTGCTCCCAACAAATACCGGCATAGGTGTGACATGGACATTAAACATGATCTTTGTTTTGTCCATGTTCATCTTAAGACCTATCCGCTGGGAAACACTATTGAGGTCCTTAAGCATAGTGCTTAAGTCCTCCAGCGATTCTGCCATAAGGACTATATCGTCGGCAAATCGAAGGTGAGTGATGTATTCGTCATTGATGTTAATATCGTATACTTTCCAGTCCAGAAGCTTGAAAACGTCTTCCAATGCAGCGGTGAAGATTTTCGGGGATATAACGTCTCCCTGTCTTACACCTCTCTGCAATTGGATAGCTTTCGTACTCTGGTTCTGTACTCGGCCCTACTGTACAAGCACTTCAGCAGTTCGATATACCGACAGTCAACTTGGCATCGCTGAAGGGACTGCAGCACCGCCCAAATTTTGACGTAATCAAAGGCTTTCTCATAGTCCACATACGCCCGACATAGTGGCAAATTGTACTCCTCGGATTTTTGTATAATTTGCCGAAGGGTGTGTATGTGGTCTATGGTGCTAAAGCCTTTTCGGAAACCGGCTTGTTCGGGAGGCTGGAAGTCGTCAAGTCTGCGCACGAGACGATTCGTAATGACTCTCGAAAACAGCACATAGACGCGGCTCATAAAGGAAATCGATCTGTAGATCTTCAAGAGAGCGTTGTCACCTTTCTTGAAGAACAAGACCACCGCACTTCTGCTCCACGCCTCCGGTGTAATGCCACCATGGAGGACTTCAAATACCGGTTTTCCACCCGCTTTCAGAAGCTCCGCTGTAGTTCCATCCTCGCCTGGGGCCTTGCCGTTTTTAAGGTGCTGGAGAGCCATTCTAATCTCGCTCAGACTGACGTCCGGTATATCATCGGAATAGTGTCGGATAAAACTCACTCTTGAATCGTTACTCACACTTATTACGTGTGGCTCCAAGGATGATATGTACAGCTACCCATAGAACCTCTCAATCTCACTCAAAATCTCAGGTGTCCCGGAAACGACGCTGCCACACTTGGTCTTCAGCTTCGACAGTTGGCTCTTTCTGGCAGACAGATCTCTAGCAAAGACTTCTGAGTCCTGGTTCCGCTCGATCGCTTCTTTAATACGAGCAGTATTAAAGTTGCGTAAGTCCCACCGCATGCATTTGGAGATCTGTCTGTTCAGTTGCCTGTATGCTGTCAAATCACTGAAGACTGCAGCTTCATATCCCGTCTAACAGCCATGAGATCAAGAGTGTAATCGGAGATTTTTTGTGTTCTTCTGCTGCGGGTCTTGCAAAACTTAGCTCCGACCGCATGGACAGTTTCCACGAGCTTGTAATTCATATCGTCCACTGCATTGCAATCTTCTAGGCACTGAAAACTGTTTCGTAGCTCAAACTGAAAGGTTTCAGGACTTTGGATTAGAGCACGAGAGGGACGAAGCGTTGACTTCATTAGACGTGACGTCTCCAACTTAACGGTTAGGTTCAGTGTGCCTCTCACCATTCGGTGTTCGCTACCGGTTTTCACCCTCGCGATCACTGAGACATCACTGAACAGTTGTCGTCTGGTCGTCATAATGAAGTCAATCTCATTTTTTGTCGAACCGTCGGGGCTCGACCAGGTCCACTTCCTGTAGGGCTGCTTCTGGACGAAAGAGTTCATCATAAAGAGTCCCTCTTTCACCATGAAGTCGGCCAGCTGCTGGCCCCTTGGGTTCCGTTGCCCTATTCCAGAAATTCCCTACTTTCAGCTCACCGTTCTCTCTTGTGCCTAGTTTTGCGTTGAAGTCTGCCATTAACACCGTATAGTAGGTTTTGGAGGAATGCATGGCTCTAGAGATATCCTCATACATGTCCTCCACCTCCTCATCGGGATGTTCCGAGTTTGGTGCGTAAACCTGTATGACCTTCAGCGAATACCTCTGAGTATAAGGTACGCAACCCTCGTCGACACACTCCCAATCTTTACAACGATGTTAACAAGAGACTTGTGGACACCGCCTTGAGATGGTCGCCCTCCTGGTGATAGAACAAATTGCCGGATTCGAGGATTACCGTGTCCTCCCCCTCTCTTCGGACTTCGTATAATCCTACGACATTCCAGCGCAACTTGTCTATCTATTTTTCCAGCTCCACGATCTTCTCGTCAGTCCTCAGGGTGCGTGCGTTATTAGTTGCCAGGTCGAGTCGTCGTAGATGGCAATAGAACCTCCACCGGAGATCCTTAGCACCTCCTGCCCCGCCGTTACCATGGTCGCCACCGTAGCCAGGAATAGCGGGGCCGCCGGGGACTGGGGGCCATCTCTTCGTTACTTTCATGGGGGGTATATTGCCATAGTTGCCACGCTTGGCAAGCGGGTTGGCAACCGCAGTTTTTTTATTGTTGTTTTACTGTTATCAGAAAGATGCTGCTGCCCATCCTCTGCCTCAGTTTCCCTCTGTCGCCTTTTACGACACCCACGGGAAGATATAGGGTAGTGAGTGTTCTCCACTGCCACCCGTGCCACTACACGGGTTTTTGAGTTATTCATCATCATCATTCATCATTACAGCCCTTCACAAGTCCACTGCTGAACATAGGCCTCCCCCAAAGAATGCCACAAAACACGGTCCTGAGCCACCTGCATCCATCGACTTCCTGCATGTCTTACCAGGTCGTCACTCCATCTCGTGGGGGGACGCCCTACACTTCGCCTACCGGTACGAGGCTGCCGCTCGAGAACCTTTCTTTCCCATCGGTTGTCGTTTCTTCGAGCTATATGGCCGGCCCACTGCCACTTCAGCTTACTAATCCGTTGGGCTATGTCGGTCACTCTGGTTCTACTGCGGATATCCTCATTCCTAAGTTTATCACGCAGAGAAACTCCGAGCATAGCCCTCTCCATAGCTCGTTGAGCGACCTTGAGCTTCCTCATACGGCCAGCAGTGAAGGACCACGTCTCAGTTCCGTAAGTCATCACTGGCAACACGCACTGGTTGTACAATTTCGTTTTAAGGTTTTGAGTTATTACTTACAATTAATACTCCTAGGAACTAAGCTAGTCAAACAATTCAAATCAAATATACACTTTTCGTGCCTTTTGTTCGGCGAACACAGCTGAAGAAGATTCGGCTGCATTCATAGCTGAAGACGATTTCAGTTTTACTAAATTCTTTACTTCTATAGACAATAGTGATAGCCTTTCCTGTCCCATAGAAGTCCTTGGAATTTTTGCTCACACACGTTTGGGGGCCCCTGTAGCCCGGAGGCCCCGTATCATTGATACGGCTGATACGGCGGTAGCTACGCCCCTGGTTCGGACACAGAACTGTAGTAGGTGCTGGAATCGCATTCCTTAACTGCCAACTCTATTTCTGATTATTCAAAGTACTCTGTGACGGACTGGTTCGGTTTATACAAAGGTACTCTGTGCGGACTGCGCAAAGAGTATAAGTAGTAACTTCCTGTATAGGATAGTTCCTATACTCTTTGGTAGTAACTGTCCTATACAGGAAGGACTGCGACAGTGCGACAGGGCAACGGAGCATGCGCGCTCGCGTAAATATATTCAATTTCAGGGAAAAATTATATATTCTCTTATAAAACGGGAAATAAAAATAAAACTCTCAATTAAAAATATTAATATTTTTAAGACCTTTTTTTAGTGTAAGAATTATTTAAAAAGCTTGTGCCGTTTTGGAGAAATTTTGCAAAATATGACAAAGATAGGTACTTTTTGGGGATTTTTTTTCTAATAAGGGGTCGACAAAAATACAATTTTGTTCAATTAAAAACATTTACCAAATCCTCTTTTGTTACCCTGTATTTTTTCTTTGTGGATTAAATAAACAGTTATTGAGATTTTTTTACGTAAATATCCAAGATTTAGGCATTTCAACCACTGTTAAGGCCTTAATACCATAAAATGGGGTGAATAGACACAACTTTCAACTTCTCCACTGTTTTCTAATATATATAGTAAGCTGATATTATAACACTTTAATGTTGTGAGTCTTATTGTAGTTTATCGAATACTAATGCTTCAAACGAGTAAAAACATGCAAATACATTGTATTTAAAAAAAAAAAAACTAGTATGTTTCTATATACCGGGAATCCGGGATTAATAGATTAATGCTATAATTGTCAATTTTCTTTTGATTTAGTATGGAGGTTGTGAGTCAAATAAAAGAAAACATAACTACACCAAAATTGCCATTATAAAAAATAATTAATTAATAAATTTGATATTTATACAATTACATTTACATATTATATAACTTATAAATATTAGAGTAATGTCATTTAATTGCTTTGCAGCGTAAGCGTTTCTGACATAATTCCATTAAATAAATAAGCCACTGTTTACATATTATGAGCATATTTAATTTTTTAAATATTGAAAATAAAAAATATGTTTCGAAGTGTGTTAAACTATATAACACTAATTATAATACTACGTGTTTTGATTTATAACCTTTGGTTATTTTAAGTAGTAAGTAACAAGATGAGATCAAAAGTACTTACTTATAAAATGATGTAAGCATTAAACATAAAAGTCAAATGACATAATTACGGGACTTGAGGCTGATTAACTCACGTTCACGTCACACCTATTTAAACGTCCAATCACCAAGTAAGTTAAACTAAAAGCATATTTTTAAATATTTTTTTTTAATAACAAGAGTAAAGTTTTAAGCTACACTTTAGCTTAAATTTTAAAACAATCCATATTCCAACTGCTCTCCAACTGTCAAATTGCTGACGAATTGAATATTCTCAGCAACTTCGTTGCAAAGAAGCGCCAGCCCCGTCAGCTGGCCTTTCTCTTGAGGACTGAAGTTGTAAACCAGCTGAGGAAAATATAGGGCTAAGTATTAAAAAACTTTTTAAAAATAAAATTTTTGGCATCCTATAGGTATAGGAGTTGTATTTAATTGAAAAAGGCAAAGTTTAGCTACCTGATGTACCTATATGAAGCAATTTTTTTTTAAACTGGTGCGTATATAATAGCTTGGCTTCGATAAAGTGAAGTGAAAGCTCTGCTTCTGCGTTTCGTCGGGTGAGTGCAGGTGGCTGGAGGGCCAATTCCCCCCCCCCCCCCCCCCCAATCATGGTAGCGGAATTAAATGAAAGACTACCGCAGCACGGCTATCATGGGCGAGGAACAAAAAATGTATCCCCCAATTATATCCACTGACAAGAGATAAAATTATCTTGTCCTTAAGCTAAAGCGCGGCAACGGGGGTATCCCCATTTGACATAACGAGTAGGCATATATCCCCCGTCCGTAGCATGGAGCCAAATGAAAGATAAAAAAATTATGCTTTTTTGACATTCGAAAGGGACAATTCTATCCTAGTTCATTGGACGTGGTTTTAAATTTAAATTCATACAAAAAATCTATCTAAGTCTAAGTCTACCGCCCAGTAGATATTATATACACCGGTGTGCCCATGCTCGAAGGGTGGATAAAACTAAGCGAGGGGATAAAAATTTTCTCTTTTGCTCGGGACGAACTGAGCAACAAGACCAAGGGGACCCCTGCCACGCTATTCGTTAATTTTTGCAACATCAGGGAACTTCACTCGAACTTAAACGCCGTCCACTAGCATCTCGAGACGGCGAAGCCATGTTATTCCACTCCTGAGCGTGGGTGCTCAGGCTGCCCCGCGTATTCTGGGGGGGGGGGGGGGGGCAAAATTCCGCCCAAAAACGGGGCAAACTGAGCAACAAGACCAAGGCGAACCCTGCCACACTATCCGTGAATTTCTGCAACATCAGGGGACTTCACTCGAACCTAAACTCTACCATCTTGAGACGGCGAAGCCGGCCTTGCTCTTTCTGACGGAGATGCAGGTGTCCTCTCTGACTGATACTTCGTATCTCTCCTACCCGGGGTACAAATTGGAACACTCCTTTGTGCCTCGGGCTGGAGTTTGCGTATACGTCAGAGAGGACATCTGTTCTCGCAGTCTTGAAGGTTCGGACCTGTCCATCCTTTAGCTACGCGTAGACAGCGACGACCATCTGCGCGTCTACGGATGCCTCTATAAGTCCCATAGCGGTAATGCCGAAACAGACCGACTCACCGACGACGTCCAAATGGCTACAGATTCCTTGCCACAATAGGTCCCATCCGCAGAGATCGTGATCCTTGGCGATTTTAACGCCCACCACGACGAATGGCTCGGTTCACGTTTAACCGATCATGCGGGGAGATCTGTTCAAGATTTTGCCTTGGCATATGGTCTGACACAAGTGATTACATTATATCAGGTCTCCGTCGACGCCCCTCTTGGCTTCTCGGACCATTGTTTAGTGCGGAGTGTGGTGCCACTCATGCTGAAATCGCGCTTGCTTTCTGCAGGCTGTCGCCGTGTTTGGCACTATAGGTCGGCCGATTGGGATGGGATGCGGTCTTTTTTTTTTGCATCCTACCCTTAGGGGCGAGTTTGCTTGTCGCCGGACGGTTCCAACTTTGTTGCTAATTCTGTTGCTGATGTGGTATTTCAGGGAATGGAACTTTTTATTCTTTCCTCTGTGGTGCCCGTCGGAGGTAGCTCTCAGCCATGGTTTAGTCGCTCCTGTAAAATAGCATCACTGTATAAACAGGAGTGCTACCAGGCCTGGGCTGACACATCAACGTCTCGGTAGGTAAACACGAGCGCCCTTAAAAAGAATTATAATTCCGCCTCCAGATCCTTCAAAAGAGACGCCAGGGCAAAGTCAGAGCACATAGGCGGAATTGGCGAGAACCCAATTCGCCTTCCATTCTGGTCTCTCGCTAAGGCTGTCCAAGGGAGCTTCTGTCACCCATCTCTCCCATCTCTGCACAGGAAGGACAACTCACTGGTCCATACCGCAAAGGAGAAAGCCGATCTCCTAGGCTCTTTGTTTGCGTCCAACTCGACTCTCGATGACGGGGGGAACACATATCCGATCATCCCGCGGTGTGAGTCTCCATGCCGGCTGTGCGGTTCTCACAGCGCTCGGTTCGCAAAACACTCCTCTCCCTGGACATCCACAAGTCGAGTGGGCCTGACCGAATCCCCCCAATTATGCTGTGGACGTTTGCTCCAGTTGGCACCAGTTCTAACGCGTCTTATCTGGTACTCCTACTCCCTAGGCGTATTCTCGAAATCATGGAAAACAGCTTTTGTCCACCCGATCCCTAAAAAAGGCGACCGCTCAGACCCGTCTAACTACAGGCCTATCGCCATCACCTCCTTGTTCTCCAAAATAATGGAATCCATTATAAACTCGGTACCTTGAGAATCACCAGCTGACTAGTGACCACCGATATGGTTTTCGTTGGGGTCAATCAGCTGGTGACCTTCTGGTCTACCTGACCCATAGATGGGTGGAGGCAGTGGAGTTCAAGGAGGAGGCATTGGCCGTTAGTTTGGACATTGCGAAGGCCTTCTTTCGAAGCTCCCTTCCTATGGGCTTCCCGAGAAATTGTGTAATTGGATCACCAGCTTTCTTGCAGATCGGAGCATCAAGGTCGTTGTAGACGGTGCATGCTCCGACTACAAGCCTAATAAGGCTGGTGTTCCACAAAGCTGCGTGCTATCACCAACGCTGTTTCTTCTGCATATCAATGATATGTTGTAAACCGGTAACATTCATTGCTATGCAGATTACAGCACTGGTGATGCTATATACACCGGCCGTGCCAATATTTCTCGGCGAAACGTCCCCGAGTACCGGAACAAACTTGTGTCTGAAGTCGAGTCTTTGCTGAACAAAGTCTCGGATTGGGGGCAACTAAATCTAGTCCAGTTTAATCCTCAGAAGACACAGGTTTGCACGTTTACCGCTAAAAAGAACCCCTTTGTCGTATCTCTTCAGTTTCAAGGCACTCCCCGTGTTGCCTCAGCCAGTATCAGAATCCTCGGCGTCGACATATCGAGTGGCGTGCAGTTTCGTGGTCACTTGGAAGAGAAGGCCAAATTGGCCTCTAAAAAGCTTGGCGTGCTCAGCAAAGCGGGACAGTATTTAATGCTGGCACACCACCTGTAACTTAACAAGGCGCAGGTTCGGCCTCACATGGAATACTGTTCCCAACTCTGGGCTGGGGCTCCCCAGTGCCAGCTCCTTCCCCTTGACCGTATCCAGCGTAGAGCGGCTCGAATCGTCGACGAACGAGTACTTTCCGATCGACTCGATTCACTGGCGCTTTTTACTGTACAGAGAATTATCATTTATCAGATATAACAAAATTCTAAAATTACGTCTACACGTCATGTACCTAACCATTTAATTGTGAGAAATATGATTTTTAAATTAACATTTACTATTAACCGGATAATAGGTCATGCCTCAGTTGTCCTGACCAGAACATGGGAGTGGGACTTGGTGTATTTCAAGGAACATGTGAAATACATGGGCAGAGCGCGGCAGGTCTTCTCTGCTCCAAAAACCTCTGCGAAATGTGAGCACTCGCCTATGGGACGTATGTATTCGTTAATGTAATCTGTCAATAAAAAAAATTCCCTAGACCGATAAAGTAAAAATATTCTAAGTTGCGTACGGATAAGAACTCGTCGTAGGTAATCCAGCCATCATTATCCGTATCTGCTGCGTTAAATTTCTCTTTTCGTATCTCCATGGAGGTTTCGTCGCCTAGACTTTCTAGAACCGCACAGCTGCAAACGAAAACTTATTAAGACAACGGAATCGTATAGCATTTTTCGTTATTCATTTAGAATTTTTTATGCTTTTATACCAAAGAGTTGATAATACGCATTGTCAAACTACAGCCCCTTAAAATGATATAGCCATTAACAAAGTCTACCGGAAGTCACAGAGCTGATGTGTATAGAGATACTGGATGTGATTTATGAAATGTTTTCCTTGTAAAAGCATTATTTTATTTATTATAAGGTAGTACATGACTACTATTCCACCTGATGGTAAGTGGTGATGGAACCGAAGATGATAAAGCGAATAAATAGTTGAATAAAGTGCATTCACTTAGTTTAACAAACGCCTATTCACTCTCTTCTTAAAGACACCCACATTGTAATCGTATGGCAAATTATTTCGAATTAATTACCAACGAACCACGAAGCAAACCGTTTGGTTCGAATGCATGGTAAGTCGGCAACAAAAGGGCTGATTACTGAGAGAGTGGCGTCCATCTGATTGTCTACTGGTGAAAGAGAGGGAGGAATCAAGTTGTGTAAACTATTCCTGAGCACTCTCCGTATTTTGTACAATACCAAAAATCTACCTATTTTGCGCCTATGCTCAAGAATGGCAAGATTGGCTTTAACAGATTAAGGTCATCAATAAGTCTCTACTGAGAATCCTAAGCTGAGAATAAGAAGCTAAGCGTTTTACATCATACTTCATGCACTTAAGCAGCTGTTGCAATATGAAGTATTATATAAGTACAGTTGCTTTGTCCCTCGACTCAATGAACCGCCCTAAGTTCAGATTTCAAGTGTAGGTTGGGTAGGTAAATGAAATGTGAACCACGAAGGACGATTAATGCAGTAATGCCTAAATACTGTATACCAATGGTACACGACAACATTTTAAGGATTATTTCAATGTTTTTACACTAAAAAATGGTTAGAGGATAACGAATAGAAATCTAGACAAACGACATAAAAAATATTTCAAGAAATTTCGGACCTAGAACAGACTTCTGAAGTAGGACAGCTTCTGAACTCTCCAAGAGGTCAGTTACAGTTTCCATACGGTTTGTAACACGCTTTCATTAGCTTAGTATGTCTATGTAACGGAATTTTTAAATATGATTTTCATCCCCTTCAAAACGTCGCATTGTTTTGAAACTTCGCACACTTATCAAGGACCGATGACAATGCAATAATTAAAATAGTTTGTCCCATTATCCTTGCCAGGATCCTCAGAATTTGCGAATAATCCATAAAACAACTAAGATTTCTGCCAGTTCACTCTACTGTGAGCCGCGTAAAAAACATCGATCCAAAAAAACAACACGCTGTTGTAAATAACCGAACTAAAGAGTAGAAAATAATTTTCAACGCGTATAAGAAAAAAAGTGATTAAATAATAAATAATTTTATTGTAAAAAAACGTGGGGTGCTTGATGTCATTTGTTATAAATATTTTTACGGATATTTGTAAAATTAGCGTCATCATAAAAATATCTGAAAAAGCACCCCACGCTTATTTACAATAAATGTTTTTTTTAATGTTAACCACTATTTTTTATTTTAAACTTATTGAAAATTATTTTCTATTTTTTAGTTCGGTTATCTACAAAAGCTAGTTTTTTTTTTAGTTTTTTAAACTATTAAGTCTTATTTTAAGAAAATAGTGATAAACATAAAAAATAATTTTATTGTAAAAAAAAGGGTAGCGTGTTTGATGTCGTTTCTTGTAAATATTTTTGTGGACATTTGTAAAATTAGCGTTATCATAAAAATATTGAAAAAGTATCCCACGCTTTTTAAAAAAAAAAATTCTTTTTATTTTATGTTAATCCGTTAGTAGTTTCTACTTAAACAAGCCGGCTTTTTTTTAAACTTGTAAACAATTACAAATTTAATTAATATTTAAGTAATAATTAAAACGGACAAGTCATCAAAACCGAGCATTCCATTTGACTGGTTGTCGAAGAGCAGAAACAAGCTATGCAGATTGGCGATGGTGACTTCGTTCCATCCTGAAAACCGCTCCACAACTTTTTGCATACTCCAACGACGGTCTTGCTCTTTCATTTCCTGTAGAAAATTTTAAGCTTAGCTCTCTTACATACTACTGCTTGGGCAAGTATACGGTTTTCTGGGAGTTTCAATGACAATGGATTTCTGAAGTACATTAAGAAAAGATTATAATTTATTCTAAAGGATAATATTATGATACTGGCGATCCGCCCGGGCTTTTCACGGGTGGTTTCTAAATCGCGACAATAGTGCCATCTACCGGGTCCAATTGTTAATCCAAACCATCCAGTCCCACACACACACAAAAAAATCATCTAAATCGGTCCAGCCAGTTTAGAGTTTTAGCGAGACTAACGGACAGCAATTGATTTTTATATACGTATAGAGATATTATCGAGTACAATTTATTGTTAAAGGAAAAATATTTTTTTTTTATATTTTTTTTATTCAAATACGAGTCATAATAATTCAACTTCTACAAAACACAAGTTGAAATGGGCTGTTGAGTTAGGCCGGCCACATACATATACGGAATTCCGTTTCGGAATCCACACAGGTAAGGTGGTTTTTCGTTCAAAATTTTGCGGCATATCGGGATTCCGTACGTGTGTGGCCGGCCTTAATGTCCATAATAGTATCATCTTTTTCTTCTTTCAATGTTGCAAGTTTTCATTTCAGTCCGTGGTGGCGGTCAAAGTCCTTCTCTCTGGGCGTAATAAGAGGCGATTTTAATGTACAAGTATACATATATTAAAGGGTGACAAGCGAGCACACAGTCGACCTAATGGTAAGTGGTTGCTGTGGCTTATAGACATCTACATCTATCCTCGTTTGCGTATCTAAATGCAGATACGTTGTCAGCCGTGAGAACTAAGATCGAATGCCTCTTTTCCAGTAAAAAGGGTATCCGGTTCTCTACACTCACCATACGAAAAACAACATTAAGCTGCTATTCTACCCTGGTATTCTGTGAGAGCATGGTTCTTCCCCATTCATGCTACAACTACACAGTTAATATAGCTGCAGCATGGCTCTACCAGGTACTTATGGCTTCCGATAGATAATGGTGTAGCCATCTGGTATATGCTAGACGTAAAATACCCTATCAGCGACGGAGAGCGATATCAAAAGTGCGTGACATCCGTTAAACTGTGGATCACAGTAAACTGTAACGGTTACTGTTTACTGTGATCGACAGTCTGGCTGCCAAGCGTTGCTATTAAGGTAAATCTTCCCTACATTGGAAAAGATCCATGTGCAGCAGTGGACTATTACCAGCCTATACAATAAAGAATATTACACACATCCCTTTTGACCAACACTGTAGTGGTGCAGAAAAGAAATAATTTTATTAACAATACCAGGATGACAATTGTAAAAGTCTATTGTACTTGATTGTATTGCCGCTGTTCCGCCAGGCGCTTGTAGAACAGTTCCACCAGCTTATCGTAGTCGGTCATGGGCGTCTTTACTGTTTCTGACACTTTTCTCTGTGGTTCGCCTAGTCACAAACATTTTTGATGATGGATGAATATATGCATACATACGTACGTAGCGTCACACCTGTGCTCCCCGAGGCATAGGCTGAGTCCAAAGTGATAGATGGTTAGCCCATTGCTGCCACAACCACAAACCCAATTTATCATTACTCGTCTTATACGACATACTAGCCTAGTAACAAAGTTGCCACATTCTTGTTTTAATTCCCACATAAAAATGGGACCTATCTATAAGTGCCAGAACAATATGGGACATAAATATACGTAGGTAAGTAACACGAGATGGTGTAACGTGGTGGCAGTTCGGGGCGCTTATCCACCTAAACTTTGAGCGTCTTCTCGTCGTGAGTTTTCTACCTGCTTGCCAACTGTTCATGGGCGGCGGTAGTCACTTACCATCAGGTGAGCCGTATGCTCGTTTGCCCCCTCTCCTATAAAAAAAAACTAATTCATTTAAAAGAAATCGAGAATGTACCTAGACCTGGGTGTTTAGAAAAATAACAATAATAACGATCTCGTTAATGGCATCAATATTTTGCCTACTCTAGTTTTTCTTATTACATACAAAGAGATTTAAATATATAGGTGTACTATAGAGCGGACATAGGGAACAATTGCATTCAGAAACTTAAAGCTCGCGCGTGTGTGATGCCCTCTAGCTAAACATAGCAAAACTACGCTGAATATTTATAAGGAAAACATTTCAGCTATTCCCCAGTAGGTGAAGCTAATAAATGTAACGTAAAAACCCGTTTTAGGAATGTTAGCGTTTCGATATCAAAGTGTCGATAATGTTGTTGAAGGTTACTAAGTTTGTAATCCTTTAAGATATAATAATAAGAAATATGGATGCTTTTTTATTGTATAAATCTATTTATTAAGACTCCCGTCACACCAAAAAGTCATATAAACTTTTTAAGTCATGAATAACGTCATGAATGAAATGAAAAGTTATGAAATAAAATATTTGATTTGCAATAACTAAGAATCAATTCAAACAGCAGTCACATTTGTAGTATCTTGGATGACGTCACTAGGTCGTTTAAACGCTATAATAATATGATTAAATATATATTTAATATGAGAAAAATATGATAGGTCGATCCCCGTCGAAGGAACATCGCGAAACATCAAATCCAATAAGCGAGCACCTCCATGTTTTCAAATTCGTTTCTTTTAAAAATACACTTTAAATCTAACATATTTTAGAAAAGCACTAAACTTAAAAATCGTTACACGATAAATTATTATACAAATTCACATGTTTGCGCGTTTACCGCTAAAAAGAACACATTTGTCGTATCTCCTCAATTTCAGAGCACTTACCTTTTTATCGGAGCCAGTAGCAGTATCTTCGGCGTCGACATATCGTATGACCTGCAGTAGCATGGTCACTTGGAAGAGAAAGCTAAATTGGCTTCTAAAAAGCTTGGCGTACTCCATAGAGCGAGACAGTATTTCATGCCTACACATCGTTTGCAACTTTACAAGCGCAGGTTCGGCCTCACATGGAATACTGTTCTCATTTCTGGGCCGGGGCTCCCCAGTGCGAGCTCCTTCCACTTGACCGCATAGAGAGCAGAGCGGCTCGAATCGTCAACGACTGAGTTCTCTTTGATTAGCTGGATTCACTGGCGCTGTGTAAGGATGTTGCATCCCTTTCCATTTTCTATCGTATTTACCACGGAGAGTGCTCTGATGAATTGTTCGGATTAATTCACCAACACACATCGCAACAAAACTTACGTTATCATCCACATCATTTGGATGCTTGGTGGCCCACTACCATGCGATTTATTAGGAGTTTTCTTAGGAATCGTTTACCATCGGTGAATTTTATGTACCGATACGACTTAGGGACCTTCAAGAAACGAGCTTACTCCTTTTTAAAAGGCCGGCAATGCATCTGCAATTCTCCTGGTTTTGTAGAATTATTTTAAAATTTTAAAAAGAAGGCTATCTCATTGACTGCTTGTACTGACATAGACGTTTCACGTTACAACCAACGGCCATGGGCTCCGGCGATTTCTTTATTGGTATAGGTACAGTATCGTTTACTGTTTCACCTCCTTAAATATTGTTACGAGCTTCGGGTTCGAGACAATTAAAAACTGCCGATTGAATTACCAAAATTGACACTTTAATTACACAACACTAATTACAATCTAAAATCACACTAGTAATAAAACACAGTTCGCCGTTATTTCGCTTCGAAGTATTCTCTTGTATCGCCAATTCAATACTGCCCCGGTCGTGGTCTATACCGGCCTTATATAGGGCCTCAGATAGTTCCCAGAACCTTCTACTGTAGCGACATCTAGAATGTTCGAGTACATATCGGTCCCGAAATTTCTGGAAGGATCTCGACTCTCCTAGTTCTGCTACTCGACACTAGAGGGCGCTAGTGTAACTAGTGCTGCCATGTACAAGACATTAATAGTGGCGCGCAATACTTTCATTTACTCGACACTAGGGGACGCTAGTGTAACTAGTGTTGCCATGTACAAGACATTAATAGTGGCGCGTAACACTGCCCCCTCCTAAGACATGCTCGTCCCGAGCATTATTGGCCCCATAATAACGCGCCAGTCGATCCACATGGACAATCTTAGGAGTACCTCTGGCACCTTTCTGTATCCGGTAGGTTACGTCATTGATCCTTGTCATAATCCGGTACGGTCCGTCCCATTTAGCTTGAAGCTTAGGAGATTTCCCTTTGCTGCGAACTGGATTGTGTAACCACACTAGTGAACCTTCATCAAACCCCTTGTTGTTCATTTTGCGGTCATACCGTGTTTTCATCTTCTCAGACGTTTGCTGGCCCGTCTGTCTGACGTGCTCATAAATGTCATTCATTTTGTTCCGCAAGTCATTTGCATAATCGGTTATACTGCGTGGGGCATCAGGTGGTATTCCGGTGATCAGGTCTGCAGGCAGCCGCAATTCTCTCCCAAAGTTTACGAAAGCTGGTGTCACTGATGTACTTTCGTGAACAGCGCTTCGATATGACAACAAAAACGGTTGTATGTGCCTGTCCCAGTCTCGTTGCCGTTTTTCCACAACTTTTGCTAGGTACCTCTCCAATGTCTGATTAAATCTTTCTACCATTCCATCAGATTGTGGGTGGTAAGAAGTTGTTCGTGTTTTATGAGTACCCATAACTCGGCAAGTTTCCTGGAATATTTGAGACTCAAAATTCCGTACAATAAAGTACATTTGCGGCACCAGTCCTCGACATCGTCACGACAGTGGACCCAGTAAAACCGTTCTCGGATCTTCAGGAGAGTTCGTTTAACTCCCAGGTGGCCTCCTGAAGAACTACTATGGTACAGTTGTAGAACATCCGGTACTTTAGCCTTAGGGACAACCATTTGCAAATGACATCTGTCTCCCCGACCATTTTCCCATTTACGGCACAGGACTCCATCCTGAATCAGCAAGCTGTCCCATTGGGCCCAATAGCTTTTCGTGGTCGAACTCATTGCTGAGACGTCGCTCCACTTGGGCTTAGGAGCACTGGCCTTCATCCATTCCAGAATCGGCTTAATGTCCGAATCTTCCTGCTGTGCATGTTGTAGGCTGTCCTTCCACTCATTGCTGAGCTGGTCTGTCCAGAGCATTCTCACAGATACCACTTCCTTACCCTCTTGCCTAGTACAATGCTTGCAATCTTCAGGGCAAGGTCTTCTTGACAATGCATCTGCATTGCCATGAGATTTCCCGCTGCGATGTTCGATCACAAAGTCGTATTCCTGCAGTAGTTCTATCCATCTCGCAACTTGTCCTTCCGGATTTTTGAACTGCAATAGCCATTTCAGTGCAGCATGGTCAGTTCGTAAGTGGAATTTCCGCCCTAGAAGATATTTGCTAAAATGCTGCAAGGACTTTACCACAGCAAGCAATTCCCGTCTTGTGACACAATAGTTCCTTTCCGGCTTTGACAACGACTTGCTGAAGTACGCTATCACAATCTCTTGATTACCATTCCGTTGAGACAACACACCGCCAAGTCCTATATCACTTGCGTCTGTGTCAACTATGAATTCCTTGCCCGCATCAGGGTACCCCAAAATAGGTGTTTTGCACAGGCGGTTCTTGAGCTCCTGGAATGCAATATCGCAACTTTCATCCCAGCAGAATTGTCGCTTCTCCTCGGTTAGCTTGTGCAGAGGTTTGGCTATATCTGCAAAGTTCTTCACAAATCGCCGATAATAAGAGCACAAACCCAAAAATGCTCTAACCTGTGTCTTGTCTTTTGGGACCGGCCACTCCTTGACAGCAGCAATTTTCTCTGGATCCGTGCGGATACCTTCTTCCGACACTACATACCCCAAAAACCTAACTTGCCGTTTGAATAGTGAGCACTTCTTTGGACTCAACTTGAGGTTGGCACTCTGGATCTTCATGAGCACGCGTTCCAGGTTTTGAAGGTGTTCTTCAAACGTACGGCCTACGATGATGATGTCATCCAAATAGACCAGACAAGCATCTCCAATTAGCCCGGTAAGTACAAGCTCCATCAACCTTTCAAACGTTGCTGGAGCATTGCACAATCCAAACGGCATGACTTTGAATTGCCACAGACCCTTTCCTGTGGAGAATGCAGTTTTCTCCTTGTCCTTAGGGTCAATTTCAACCTGCCAGTAGCCACTTTTCAGATCTAGCGTACTAAACCACTTTACGCCTGTAAGCATATCCAGCGTGTCATCAATTCTTGGCAAGGGATAGCTGTCCTTCTTTGTAATGTCGTTCAGGCGGCGATAGTCAACACAAAACCGCATGCTGCCGTCCTTCTTCTTTACCAGCACCACAGGTGAACACCATGGACTAGATGAAGGTTCAATAACACCATCCTTCACCATTCCCTCAATCATGGTTTCCACTTCCTTTTCACGTGCTACAGGCAATCTTCTTGGCCGCTGACGAATAGGCAATTCTTGTCCTGTGTTTATTTTGTGTTGAACTAAGCCAGTCTTTCCTATGTCAGCTTCGTTTGACGAGAAAACATTGGCGTACTTGAGTAACAACTTCTTCGCCTTGACCATTTCATTCGGGGAAAGAACGCTGCGACAGTCTTCCAAAAGTGTGGTCACTATCGTTTGTCCATCCTTGCTGGGGGTCCCGGTCGATAGATATTCGCATCGACGCAACCAATCCACTTCCTCACTAGTACCAACCAATGTGCCTTTTTCTATAATCTGTTCCTGATCACAAAGGTTCAACACACGTACTCCTGAGATGTCGGTGGTTCTGACCAAGGTTCGAGCCACTTTCCATGGAAGGTCATTGTATACCCTTTCCACGAGTACACAACGATGGGCTTGCCCAGGACTCCGAGGAAGACTAACCGGCACAATCGTTTCCGATCTCGGCGGAAGAACAATCTTCTTAAGGCTGTACACATTCCCTGGTAACGCCCCTTCCACGAAAAGTTCTTCTTGTCCACATTTCAAAACACCTTGCTTAACGTCGATCTCACAACAATTCTTCCTCATAAAGTCTAGGCCCAGGATGCAGTCGTCCATTATATCAGCCACGATGACATTATACAGGTAGATCATGTTGCCTAGCTTCAACTCCATCTCCTTCTCTCCACGGACGGCTGACCGGTGGCTGTCATCAAATTAATGCGTTCTCGGTTGTATGCGGAGTCCCCAAGGAACCGACTTATAAGTTGGGAACTGACAACCGTGCGAGAGGCTCCAGTGTCTATGGTCAGTTTACACGGCGTTCCGTTGACTTCGCCCTTGATGATTAGGCTGTTCCCATCATGGGTTTGTGAGATCGAAATCCTTGGGGCTCTTTTAACATCAGCCAGCACCCGCCCCGCAGTCCTGGCTTTTACTCGTTTCCCTGCTGCTGCTGGGCGGTGCTATTATCCGCACTACCCTCTCGAGATCGATCACCTTCCCTTTCTACAGTTCGTTTAGGGCAGCTGGATCGAAGATGGCCCCTTTCCCCACAGCCGTAGCACCTAGGGTTATAGCCCTTATTGCGGTCCTGAACTGTAGCTGCTGCAACCTCCCTGACGCGGTGGGAACGATGATCCTGCCGCACGGCTTCCACCTCCAGTGCATGGGTCAGGACGTCCTTAAGCGTCTGGTGGTGCACGAGCCTCACAGCAGCTCTGACTTCAAGGTCGCGGATGCCGTCGATGAAAGTCTGCACCAGGTTCCCTACAATGAGCACAGGTACAGACTGGTACGCTTTTCGAACCAGCTTCTCCACCTCAAGGGCCCACTGCTGCAGGTTTTCGTTACTGCGTTGCACGCGATCTTTGAGCTGCGCACGAAAGACGTGTTCCAGGTGAGCATCGCCATATCTCGCCTCCAATGCCTCAAGGAGCTGCTCGTAAGTCACTTCCTTACCGAGCGCTTCCAAAACAGTTAAGGCCTGGTCGCGTAGGCCTAGTGTGAGAGCAGTCATGGCCTGACTTTTATTCCAGCCGTTCGCTTTCATGACAGCCTCGAACTGGATTTTGTAGGCCGACCAGGAAGAACTCCCGTCGAACGGCGGCACTTTGAATCCACGTAGCGAAGGTGTTGTAGCTACCACGGGAGCTGTGATTCCATCCCCAAGTTTGAGGTCGTCCAGCGTTTTCTTCACATCAGCCATCACGTTGTCAACCCGATTGTTCACTTGGTCGATTCGGGTTTCAGCTTCCGACAGGCGGTTGTCATGTTGAGCAACCCTATCCTTCACCTCCTTTATCTCTTTCCCGAAGGTAGCGTGAAGGTCCTTCCTGAGGAGCATCTGTTCTTCCATACCGCGCTGCAGCTGCTCTTCCAGCCGACGGGTCTGTTCCTCCTGTCGGCGGGCCTGTTCCTCCTGTCGGCGGGCCTGTTCCTCCTGTCGGCGAGCCTGATCCTGCAGCATCATCATCAGAGCACCCAAGTCAGGTGCTGCAGATGCAGGAGCTGCTGACGGGCCAGCCTCCGTGGTTAGCAACTGGCCCTCCGACGTTTGCGGCGTTGCATTACCAAATCGTCTCTGGTCCGTCTCCTGTTGGTGTTGACTTCGGGTACGGATACCCTCCGTGTCGTCTTTAGGTAAAATCGGCATATTTGATCCCACTTCTGACACCAATTGTTACGAGCTTCGGGTTCGAGACAATTAAAAACTGCCGATTGAATTACCAAAATTGACACTTTAATTACACAACACTAATTACAATCTAAAATCACACTAGTAATAAAACACAGTTCGCCGTTATTTCGCTTCGAAGTATTCTCTTGTATCGCCAATTCAATACTGCCCCGGTCGTGGTCTATACCGACCTTATATAGGGCCTCAGATAGTTTCCAGAACCTTCTACTGTAGCGACATCTAGAATGTTCGAGTACATATCGGTCCCGAAATTTCTGGAAGGATCTCGACTCTCCTAGTTCTGCTACTCGACACTAGAGGGCGCTAGTGTAACTAGTGTTGCCATGTACAAGACATTAATAGTGGCGCGCAATACTTTCATTTACTCGACACTAGGGGACGCTAGTGTAACTAGTGTTGCCATGTACAAGACATTAATAGTGGCGCGTAACAATATTGTAGGTGTTTAAAACTGCACCTGTATATCGATAGCACCTATCGACAAACGTTGTCAATCACAAACTCTTTGGTGACGTTACTCGATAACAGAGGGCGCTTATTACAATAATGATAAATGTTCTAGAACAATCTACCAGAAATAATAAAAATTAAAAATTATGGGGTAAATATACATCATACTTGCGATAATAAACCGAAATCACATTCAGTTTTTCAATATTATCGGGACTTACAATACCATAATGCATAACCGGACATATTTTCTTTAAAAATAGTTTTTGAATTTAGGAAACGAATGCGTTTTGAGCTTTTGATGATGTCACTAATACTAAATGACACAAATCCAAAATATATCCTATAGGACATAAGTAAGACGTGACCATTTTGTTGCTGATGTCCGGTCTATTACTACTACTTAAATTTCTTTGATTACATAGCTTATGATTTTGCCATAGGTAAAGTTCAGGAGCGGTACTCACCTGTAGCAGTAAAATCTTCTTGTCTATAGAAACATATCGGTTTCCTCTTAACAGGATATTCAAAGAATCTACCTAAACTGGTGAAAATTGTGCTTAGTTGGTGACCCATAATATTAAGTTGAACAATAAAGAGAATGTAATCACTACGTTTATGTAAAAACTTCAATACATAGATAGTTTCTAAGACTGCGTCATTGATGACAACCTGACAGTGATAAAGGCTTAGTATCATAGATTATTGTATACTAGCTTTTTAGCCTCGCCTTCACTCGCGTGGTCTTCAATTTAGAAAATTCATTAATACTAATCCAATTAAAATTTAAATTTCATAAATTTCTGTTCACGGTGAACGTGTGGGAGAAATTAAATTCATGAACGGGAGTAGAAATAAGTATACAGAAGATGTGCAGCAGAGTCTTTCTGATTATAGCTCAAAATAATAAAAAGCTGTGGTAGCCAACCCGCTTGCCAAGCGTGGCTACTACTGAAAATATCGGGCATATTTGACAAACAATGGGACAAACCTATGATCAGCAGTGGATAGGCCTATTTAAAGTAAAAAAGTAGCAGCTTACATAAATCCCACTACTGCGCATTATTGGGATTGAGTTGACCTCTAACGCGGGATGACCGACTTTACATAAGTATACCCACCTTACAAATGATATCCGAAATATTTTTTCAACTTATCAAATATACAGGTTTCTTCGCAATATTTTCCTTCACCACCGAGAACGTGGTAAATCGAAACTTCAAATTGCAATTAAAATATGAATGGTGTCGGTGCGGATCGAATTTGGGTTGCTTCATCAATCACTAACTACGTAGACATTTACGTTTGGATCGGTTCGATTACCGGATAACTTTAAATATTCTTTCAATGCAGTTCTACTTATAGTTAAAATAAAATATACATGTGTTTAAAATTTGTTGTCTTTGATATTTATAGTACTTTTTTCACAAGAGCCTGTTCGTTTACTCATTTCAGCTATGAAACCGAGACTGTCACAAAATCTTAATAGATAGGTAGGTATGTCTGAAAAGATGAAAGCTATTTTAATACGAGTATATTATGCCAAACAGCCAAACTGTTTTTTTATAAGTCTCATTAAAAGTAAAAAAGTAATGAAGCAGCTTACATACGTCTTACGACTGTGCAAAGGACTACTAATTATCCATGTGCAAAATAGCGGTTTCACATGTCCACGATTTTTTCTAAAACTACTAATATTCTTTACCATTTCGCTGAGCACGTGGAAAATAAGCAAGTAAAATTTCCTTACCCGTTTCATTGGTCCTCGCGGGAATCGAACACTTTTGCTCCTGTGCTTTGCAATCTTACTGCGAGCTAGGTACACGGCTCTCGTATTTGCTTAAATAAAAGTCATAAAAATAGAAAAGAAGCTTTTCCACGATTTTGGACCCCATCTACCTAGTAATTAGTCACTAAAACTATTCTATCATTTAGAGATGAATATCTTGCAGTGTACTTAATTTTCAATTACTTAAATCGGACTTCATACAAAAAGTTGTTGAAATATTGCAATGTTGATAGACACTCAACATATTCAACTAAAGACATTCTCTTCGCCAGGGTGGCCGGCGAAATTCAAATTTTCTTACGTTTTTTGGAATTTGCAGGTCAGGGTCAAGTATGTAACGAGTATGTGTTTAAAGAATTATTATCATTAAAATTACCAACCAACCAACCCTCTAAGTTCATATAATCCCTTTGAATGAGTTTTTCTTGAAATAGCCATACCATAGATAAGCTAATATAATCGGTAGGCATACCTACAATGTGTTGGTTACAAGTGCTGCTAGCGGTGTGTAATGAAATTATTTTACGATATAACAATATGAAGAAATAGCAATGTTGTGTTTAATATAATATCGCCAAACGATCTCTATTCATTGATTTCGTCAAGTTAGTAATTATTTATATATGAACTCAACAAATAAGTTTAATTAAATGCCCCCATTTCTTGCAATAATCTACAACTTTATGATTCATATTTGTACACGCCCCTAGCTGCCCCAACATAGGTTGACGGGACTAGGGTCCATGAGTAATCCCATCGACGGGCAGCAGAGGGATGGCGCCCAACGGTCCGGTGGAAGAATTTCCTATAATACTAAGCTATTTGGGAGAAGGCTAGGGAAATATAGTACGTACCTGTTTGCGACTCTTAGATCGCCCCAAGGCTCGGTCAGGCCGTAAGTGGGTGTGAGCTGCATGGCAAGTAGTGTTGAGTGATGTGTAAATGTCTGAGACCTGGACCAGTTTAGGCGACCAGCAGCGGCAGAGTTTCAGGCTGCCCCACAATGCTGCATCGCTCCAGCAGGCTCCACCGCTGGACCATTTCTTTCTTCATTGTCACTATTTCAGTCTATTAGCTTCATTGAACATTTAACTAACTTAAACTCGCCTAATTCCACACTCATCGTAGAATCGAACACGTGATACCCGACACAGTAAGGACAGTAGTTCAAAATTCGACATTCAATGTCCCGGATTCACTTATCACAAAATTATAAATAAGGAACTAACGCGATCTCTTAATGAGTCATACGGTCCAGCGTTAAACACGACTAAGTTCCTTCATTTGACATCAAAACACCACGCCGCGAAAAGAATTCAAAATACGCCTCGTTGACACGTAAACTAACAAACCAACCAACACACAAAAAAGGGCACTTAACGCGACGGCACAATTATAATGATTTCCAGACAATCAACCGGGAGACGCTCTCGACCAAGGAATGCGCGGTTCGAATCCTAGACAGTATATCTACTCGACGCGCGCGTGCATAATTCCGCATCACCCGAACAAGTTAAATATTGCAAAATTCACATATCCACGTAGCGAAGTAACACGCCTAAATCTAACTATCTGGACCCTACACGGTCGCGTGAACTTCGGCCGCGATAATCGAGATACGCGGGTTCCCCGCATCGCGGCCAGCGAGCTACTTTCTCTCGCCCACGAGCGTCACACGCTGGAAGCTGCCTACCGCACCCCGTCCCCTCGATGAGCGTGACACCTGATGCCATCGTGCGACTCACGAAGTCGAACGTGATTGGATATCGTACAAATTACCGTTTTTGGCCTAAACATATTATTTATTCTAAGATTTGGCTAACATATATCTTTTTTTTATAGGATAAGGGTGACAAACGAGCACACAGGCCACCTGATGGTAAGTGGTTGCTGTGGCCCATAGACATCTACATCTATCTTCGATTAAGAATCAAAATGCAGATACGTTCTCACCCGTGAGGACTAAGATGGAATGCCTCGTTTCTAGTAAAAAGGGTCTCCGGTTCTCTACACTCACCATACGAAACACAGCAGCGTTAAGCTGCTATTCTACGCTGGTATTATGTGAGAGCGTGGTCCTTCCCCGGTCGAGCCGACCCATTCGTGCAACAACCATAATATAGCTGCAGCATGGCTCTACCACATATAAAAACTGCACTATCTCACAATCTATGCATATTTGTGGTACACTTTACTGAGAAACTATCACACTTTTATATTCGCGCTTCGACATAGTATTTTCGATTCATGTAAAAAAAATAGAAGACAACAATGTTCATTACTTACATTTTTATTGTATTATTGACGCCATCTGTAAGAAAACTAAAAAAATACTTAGTACCACGTTAGATGGCGCTAATTATGAATGGAGCATAACTTGATGAAAAATGTCGGATAACCTCTCAGTATATATACAGTAATCTATGCTCTCAGCTCTCAGTACAAAGTTGTACTATTAGCAATATAAAAAATTCCTTATATAAACGATATGTGTAGTGAGTTCTGAATAATTACAGTTTTTGTCAGTTTATTTATAGATAAACAAAACTAATACGTACTAAAAACTTTTTATACATTAGAAATTAAACTTAGAAACATCTCAGTTTTTATGATGTTCGATAGATGTCACTATTATCTATATAAGTATTTCAGTAGTAATTAGTTACTATAAACTTTACTTTTTTCCTACTAAAATGAAATAACGAAAGAACTAAAAAATGAACGTTAGAATTTTCAAATAATTATGAATTTCATTATTTAAACTTATAAAATGTAAGTTATATTTTTTCTTTTATTTATTAGTAACTGGAGATAAAATGTTACTACTTTTTGAATTTCACGTTAGATGGCCCCGTTTATAAAAATTGAAAGTTAGATTTTCAGCGTAGTTCAAATTATTACGCAATGGTTAAAACTAAATTAAGGCTTTATAATAATAAATATCTTATTTAAAAAATACATAAGTCGTATAAAATAGAAATTAACATCTCTAGGAAGGAAAATACTTAACCCTCCTTTTTTAAGTTCCGTAATCGGATGAAAGTAGCCTATAAGTGGCCCAGGGTCCCTAACTTTTTTTTTCGTGAATCTGGAATACACAGACAGACAAACAAAAACTAAAAACCACTAAATAAAGCTTGATAGCCCTTTATTTAGTACCCTGGAATGGTTTTTTCCAGAAAACATTAGAATTACAGACACTACTTTTCTTTTTATCGTAAATAAAAAGGATTTGAAGCTTTTTAAGAGGTAAAGTATTATTTCGGTTAAAGTTTGACATGGAAGAGCCATGCTGCGATTATATTATAGTTGTAACACGATTAGGTTTTCTCGAAGAACGGAAGAACCACGCTCTCACAAAGTACCGGAGGGACGGAGATCCGGAGAAACGAGGCATTCCACCTTAGTCCTCAGGTATATATAAAGGTACTCTGTGGTCCTCAGGGGTGGCAACACATCTGCATTTTGATTCTTAATCGAGGATATAATACGAAGATGTCTATGGGCCACAGCATCCATTTACCATTTACTATCAGGTAGGGCCTGTGTGCTCATTTGTTACCCTTATTCTATTTAAAAAAAAAAAAAATAACCAAAAGTTTTCGTTAATTTTATACAAACTTGGTAGCTTGGGGTATGGCGTGTGCGCTTCGAGTTTCTTACTCATTTACTTGAGACTTCAGTGCTATATGCACAGAATACAAGCATAATACTTCAGTGTTTCGTGTGAGGGTAATGACTAATGAGACATTAGGCATTTTAGTTTGCAGGGACGATAAAGCCAACA